CTAACCTATAGTGACGGAAAACAACTCGGTAGTTTCTTGAAGATAGAAGCCTAGAAGGAAAGATTAAAATGGAGTAAGCCAGATATCTGTAGGTGATATATATTATCATCTTGATTATGTTGCTGATTTTATAGTTGTATACATGTCATAAACTTTAATTTGTACACTTCGTGTGTGGTTTATTATATGTCAATTATATGTCATGAGATAAAACTTTTTTTTTTTAAGTAAAATAAAGCCAGTCTGGGAAAATATTAACATTGGGGAATCTCAGTGAATGGTCTCTATGAATTCTTTGTATTATATTTGCAACTTTTTTATAAGACTGGAATTATTTCAAAATACAGGAAGTAGAAAGAAATGACTTACCTACATCACTTCTTGTCAGCAATTTCACCTGGCTTGACTTCTCTAGTATGTTTATGCAGTCAATAAAGTCTTTTGCATTTATCTTCTTACTTCTTTGTTTTATCATTTTGGGAAATGTTTACACTCTTCTCAAAGCTGACACTTAGCTGAATTCCTTGGTTTCCTCCTCCTTCATCATCAGTCTAGTTCATCTGCCTATTTCCACATGTATTGTCTTGAATTTTGTCTTTTTATGATACTCATTTTAGAAAGTTTCACTCCTTTAACATCTTGTCATTTCAGTACAATAAACATCTTTGTGATTATTCCCTTAAACTGTTCTTAATCTCCTGTGTATCCATTTCTATTCTTTCTGTTCTCATTTTTTGTTCCCTGATTCACCGCTATCTCCTGTATCTCCTTGGTCCTCCCTTCTCCCTCAGGATGTTTATCCATGTCCACTGGTTTTGAGTGTTTTACTTTATCAAATCAGTGTGTAAATGTTCAGTATTTTTTTTGACCTTTCTGATTTCTTCGCCTTGAATATTCCTCTCAAACTTTCTCCATTTTGTTGAAAATAGTTGCATTTCATCCTTTATAGTGGTGTGACTATGCCACATCTTCTTGATCCAGTAGCCCGTTATAGACATTCGGACTCTTCCATGGTCTAGCTATTATAAATAATGTCACTATGAACATTGTGGAATCATGGGTTTTCGTGTTGATGATTTTTATTGTCTTTAGATACATGATCAAGAGTTGCCTTCTTACTCTTAAGTCTGTTCATTTTTCCTTTACTTCACAAAATCATGCAAATCATTCAGGCCTTTTTAACTGTTCATTATTTTGCATACTCCTGGGGTTGTTGTTTAGGAACAAAAGCCTTCATGAAATCATCCCATTGTTTTCAGTTGAGCTTCAGTATACCTGGAATATTTTGTATTTGGTCTCTTTGGCATTGGTATGATCTCTTTTACAATGTATTCAAAGTATTTTCTTAGATTGTGTTCCTCATGGCTCTTGAGAGAGTGTGTGTGTCTCAATTCATCTTTGTCTTCCTGGGATTTGTCATAGAACATATCATGCCTTAGCATTACCATAAATTATTAAATAAGGCAGTTGGGGAGGTTTCAGACTTTCTATACAAATAATAGGATTCTGAGATAGGATAATGCAGTATCTCAGAGTGGAAGAATATTCTGAGACTTTAAGAAACATGTGCTAAAATAGTTGATCAAATGACAGGCAGGTAGAAAGGAAAATTTTGTAAACCAGCTTTATTCTAAAAAATTTAAATCTGAGTAGAAGAGTATGGATAGTGCAATTTCAGGACAAGATTAAAAAATTTGATGAAAAATTCGTTAGGAATCTGAGAGCTTTTAGTGCATAGCAAGGTTAGAAATATCCAGAAATGATTAGAGCCAAATCATACAGTATGCATGGATTTTCTCATAAATATTAAACACTTGGCATAACTTTGACTTCCAGAGGGGAAGGTATGAGAGGATGGAAGCAAATCAGGGAGGGTACTGACTGGATTATAGTGGAGGATTTTTGGAATTTTGATGGTGATACAGTATAATGACACAATTGGTAGAGGTATGAACCTATACCCATCAAACATACTGTTGTAAATTGTTATGTCAAAATAATAATAATAAAGTAATATACTTTAAATTAGAATATATTCATAAAATAAGATTAGTAAATTAAAATGAGTGATAGAGCTTGATGAGTTTGTGTAAATACGATTAGAGGTTATTATTGCTGAGATACAGAAAGGATCAACAGAGTCTCCTATTGGGAAATTCCCACATATACTCTGAGTGTGAAGATGATAGCACAGTCATAGGTGAAAGGGCAGTGATTTACCAAGAAGTGAAGGGATCATACAGTTTGATCTTTGGTAGTGGGCATATAAAAGAGCTATAGATATACTAAGCAGATAGTATAGATCCTAACAGTTCTTTGTTGTGTCCCTAGTGACATTATGTTATTCTGATATTATTTTCAATAAATACAGTTTTCTTTACTTTCACAATGTTAGCATTAGAAAAACAGTGATCTCTTAATGATTTAGTGATATTCCTTAATATTCATTTATAAAATTATGACATTGAGAATTTTGGGGTTCTATTTTTTTTAAGATTTCTTTATTCATACAGAACTGGGGTACAGGCCAGAGATGCGGAGGGTGAGAGGATTCACCAGAGATAGAGTGGGGAGCAGAACAGGCAGACTGACGAAGTACACTGCTGAGGGGAGCAGTGGTCGGGTCACGAGAGGTCTGCCGGGCCATATGGATCTCCTCCAGGGCAGGTGGGAATTGAACTCATGCAGAAGTGACTTAAGCTTTTTAGTGCTGTGTTTTAACCCACTGCACCACCAGGGAGGGTCAGGGTTTCATTCTTAATAATACCAATCCATTCTAGGAAAAGAAGCTTGATGAACTTCCCAAGCAAACCAAGTAAATGTTTTGAAGTGTCAAAGAACAAATAATATTGAGATACCTGGAATTAAAACAGGGCCTTCCCAATCATGCTTAGTTAAATAAGCCAGAAAGAAAAAGAAAAATACCGGATGGTTTCATTCATAGCAGGAGCGTGGGGGGGGGGCAGGAATAATAATGAACAACTATATACCAAAGTATATCAGAGACATTTTACTGGGTGGAGAATGGTGTAAAAAAATGGGATACATAGGGGCCCTCCCTGGTGGCACAGTGGGTTAAAGCACAGCACTGAGAAGCTAAAGCCACTTCAGCATGAGCTCAATCCCTACCCCGGAGATGACCAACATGGTGCAGCAGACCTCTCCTACCTGCCCGCTACTCCGTTCAGCATTGCACTTTGTGGATCTGCCTACTCTGCTCCCCACTCTGTCTGTAGTGAATCCTCTCACCACCCCTGCACCTCTGGCCTGTACCCCAGTTCTGTATACATAAATAAAATAAATATTTTAAAATGGGATATAAAATGCACTGTGGTGATGGCACACAAGTGATCTGGTGATGGGAAGCTCATGGGGATTACAACTGAGATGGAAAAGGCACAAAATGATGTAAAAATAAACTATTATATTAAAATAAAATGACAACAACAAAAAGAGCGCTTTCCCTGGTGGCACTACTGGTTAGGACACAGCACTGCAAGCGAGCCACAGCTGCCTCAGTGTGAGTTGGATTCTGGGCCCTGGGGGTGACCCATGTGGCGCAGCAGACCTCTTTTGTCTTGCCTGCTGCTCCCCTTTGCAGTGCACTTGGTCAATCTGTCTGTTCTGTTCCCCACTTTGACTCTCGTGAATCCTCTCACTATACCTCCATCTCTGGCCTACACCCCAGGTCTGTATGCATGCATGAATCAATCAATAAATAAAAAATAAGTCTTTAGAAAATTTTAAATAAAAACAATAAAATTTGAAATTTAATATATCTCAGGTTATTATAATAGCACATTCTCCCAATTCATTCCTTCCAGGTGAAATTGAAAGTGACTTACTTAAAAAATGGTTTTTGGTCTTGCTTTCAGCTACCTAGCCATTAATATATATAAGGCCTTTGATAACTGACTGTACTTAATTTTAGCATATATTTAAGCAAAAATGTCTCCTTACAGAATGAATATTTCCAAGTGCCCATTGTTGTTTTATTTTAAGTACTATCTTCTATCTCAAACAGATTTTTGGTTTGGGAGGCTGGAGGGCTCAATAACAGCAGACAGCTGAGATTCATCTGCTTCTTAAAGTTGAAAGAATTATTTCTTTTGGAAATAACTAAGTATTAGCTCGAACTAGTATTTGTTCTTATTGCTCTGATTTGCTAGTAAAGTTTATCTGATGTACTTGTATATGGTCATTTTCCCAAAAAATTTTACTCTTAACGTCAGATAGACATGTACCTTTGAAATAATTTTTATCTACTAGTTACAGCTTAAAACAATTTTTATAAGATATCAAGTAGCAAAAAATAGATTTCCTAATGTATAGTGTTTCATAAAATAGAATTTATAGAAACAATCCTTTTATTGTTTTTAGTTTAATAATATGGGGATGATTACAAAATGGTAGCTACATTTATGTGCCATACACAAAGTGATACTGCTTTGGATTTATTAATTCGGTTAATTCTCACAATAACTCATTTTATCTTCTCGTTTTACAAACAAAAAGTTGTGGCATGAAAGGGTTAAAATTACTTGCCTAAGTGGAATTGGCAAAGTGGAATTCTAAGCAATGCATTCTGATACCAGAGTTCTATGTCTATCATCACTTCATTATAGTCATTTAATTTTCTGTATCCTATATTTCAGAAACTAGAAAAACAAAAATAATCTCAGTGCTCCCTAGCCTTTACTATATACTGGTATCATCTGATCACTCCAAGAGATTATGCTTTAATTAGTATGGAGTATGGTCTGGACTTTAGGATATATAGAATCTCAGTTAATGAGTAGCCGGGTTGTAAACAACTGTCCTAAATGCACACTGACTGGAAATGGAAATATTAATAGCAAAACCACTCTGTGCACTCTTCTACTTTCAGTAGAAATAAGACTAGTACAGGCTTAATGCTATGAGACAAGTCCATTCATTTGACTGACTTAATGTGTAGCTAGCATGTTTCATATATCATATGTCTTGTTTTTTAATTACAGACACAGCCCCTACCAATCTTGAGCAAGAATCTACAGAGGGAAATACAAATACACAGCCAACTGAGCAAAGGACAATGAGTTCTAAGGCAAGCCCGAATCAAAATCTCAGTGAATTAGTTGTTGAAGCCAAATATGAGGGGACAAAACTGCCAGAGCAGAGTTCAAGGAATTTTCAAGTCATAAGCCCTTTTCCAGGTGATGGGACAGCTCACTGCACTACTGAAAACTCCAAGTGAGTGCAGACAGCCTCAGAGTTCTACGTAAGAATTAGGAGAATTCCTTCTTTTCCCTTCATCTCTTCCTCTGTCTTCAGCCCTTCTTTTTTGATGTGGGCTAAATTTGACCTGTCATTCATTTTTGGTGGTGGTGGTGGGGGGGTTCAAATCTACCTAATTCTTTTCTGTTTCCATTGCATTCATATTATTATATGTGTCTAAGTTGCTAAGTGAAAAAAGCACAATCTGCTTTTGAAGACCCTCCGATTTTACTTCTATATGTTGACTGTTAGTTTCTGTGACCTTTCATCGTGGATTTGGAAATAACTGTTAGTTGATATAAATTAGATTTTTTTCTCATAAGAACTTATATTTTATTGAAAGTACTCTTCTATACTTGTTAAAGCATTATTTTTTTTCCCAATTATGTTTACTGAGGTAAAGAAGGTTTACATCATTGTATTTGTTTTAGGGGTTATAGGTTCAAACCTTTACAAATGTATGTTTGCACACTATGCCCACCATCAGTGCCCCAGTAATCCTCCGCCATGCTCCACTGGGCCCTCTCCCTCCCCAGCTCCCACCCGTCACTCTCCTTTCTGGGTTGCCTCAGTTTTGTGGTCAAATGTCAAAGCTTTGGCTCAGTTTTGTATCACCCTTTGTTTTGTTTTGTTTCTCTATAGTCCACATATAAGCGAAATCATTTGGGGCGATGGGATATTATTCATCAGCACCCAAGACTGGGAACTCCAGGATAGAAGCAGCCCATAGATGTGTTTTGGTTTTGGTTGCATTATTTTTTCTTTACATGAATTCAAATGCATTTAGAAGGACCGTATACTAACCTATTTACTTCCTTATTATTTTATATTCTGTAGCTTTTATCTATTTATGTTACTTAGCTATCCCATAACGGGATTTGATTTTGTGATACCCTCACTTTAACATACGGAACTAAGGCAATTTGATAATTAGTTACATAGAATGAAAATACTGCTAATTATAAAATAATTCAATGAATGATGTGGTTATATTTTCAGTTTAGACAAAGTCCATAGATTATAATTTTAAGAGTTTTGTATAGACACAATATTTCTATATACTTCAAAATTAATTAATAGATATATAATGAACATTAATATATAGTAGAGTAGCTATATTGATGTATTCCTACCTTTTTAATACTCAGTTATAGTTTTACCAAAGAACAGAGTAGAATACATTTTTGGAGAAGAAGTGTGTGAACGAAAAAAGAGGTGATAAACATTTTATAACCACTTGTACAAAACATTAAAAAAATCTTTTTGTTTACCCTTCAATGTTACAGGGATAGATTTTCATGTTTAATATGTTTTGAACTTAATAATGAACATATGATGTTCTGTCAAGTAAATTGGAAAGAATTATGATCATTGTTTCCATTTTTAGTAAAGTGAGAAATAATCTGCAGGTTTCATTAAATGTACAAATTGAATTATTATTCATAGCCCATACAGTTTGATTCATGTGTCGCTATAGTTTTTGTGAAAATGCTTTCCACACATTTAACTCTTAGTATCTTGTAAAATCAACATGTTTACTGTTTTCATCCTTACTATTTTCTTAACAATGCAAAATAGGAGAAATTAAAAATTATAAAATCTTACATATTATAAAAATTAAAATTGTTTCCCCCATTTGAAGGGTAAAGGTTATGGATTCTGTATAGCAGAAACCACATATATACTGTTTAATAATTTTCTTTATTACAGCATTATGGACCATAGAAATAATGATTTGCATTATAAATGTATGATTCCTTCTCAAGTTACTCCAGACATAAATAAAGAGAAGACAATGGCATTTCTTATGAAAGACTTGGAAATTCTCAGAGCAAGCAACAGAAAGGTACAATATAGAAAAATGTTCACCCTCTAAATTGCTTTGCTGCCCATCATAACTCCGTTTTGTTATGTGCTATAATCTGTTAACAGTAACTTCATGTTTTGTCCTACCATGTCATCAGGGTTTGAATTAAGGGGTTGACAATACAAAACATTTTCTTAGATGCCCTGCCTTTCTAAACTATGATACCACTTCCTTTTTCATACTGTGTGATACTTTGGGTAGGTACCAGAATACTTTCCTACGTTTTATTGTAGTAAAACTTTATTTCATTTTTATGGTGAATGAGAACTATACTACAATATTTCATCTTACTTTTTTTTTTTT